GCGAGGCGTCGGCGGGGCAGCCCACAGGGCACGTGCTACCACTTCCCCCGGCCCCGCCCCCGGGTCTGAGCATGCGCTACCCTGGGCGCTTTTCATTGGCTGAGCGCGCACCCACGGCACTATGGGAGGAGGGGGAGTTGAAGGAGGCCCTGGGACCGGAGCCCGAGGCACTATGGGAACCAGGAGCGCCATAATGGAAGGCCTGTCACCCGCCACGTGGGAGGGCCGCCGCCGTCCGCCCCGTCCGCCCCGTCCGCCGCCGTCCGCCCCGGCTCCCTGTCGGAGGAAGGGGGACTGCGGTTCGCGAGCGCTCGCACGCTTTTGTTTCGTATTCCAGTTTTCCGTAAACCTAATTTTTAGGGCCGTCTGCATTCCAGTTCCCATTTCCGGCCTGCAGGGCGGGGTCTCGCATCATGGCGCCTCGGCCCGGGGCGCTTCTTGGGACCTAACTGTCGAGTCCTCCTAGGCCAGGAGACCATTTGCACTGCCCACGGTGCTGTAAGAGTACTGGGAAGAAGAGAAAAGCCATTTGCACGACAAGACGGTACACACTCCTGTCGGGCCGCGTCCATGGCTGCCAGCTCTGCGCGTGTTCTGGAAATCCTATGTTGAGTAATAGCTTCTTTAGTCACTTCCGGGGTCCCAAAGAGCATACCGGGCTCGAAAGCTACAAAGAGGACGTAGTGTTGAAGCTGGTTTTTTGTTGTTTTTTGGACCCTAGGCCCAGGAGGTAGACATGTCAGGTTCGGCCATTCACCCCAACAGGCCAAATACAGAGAAGCGGTGAGGGACAGAAGAAGTAGCCACAGGAGGCCAGCGCTTCAGCACTTCTTCAGCTACCTTCCAGCGGTAACGTCATCTGCCTTAGGTTTGGGGGCTGGGAATGAGAAAGCCGTAATAGTCCCAAGTCATGGTGTGTTCAGAGGTGGTTTAGTCGTGTGGGGCCTTTAAAGAGGCACTGAGAAGCTGGATAGAAAAGACAGGAGACCGCCAGGTTGTACTCTTTTCAACAAATATCAAAAGGACCAGACTCAAGTTGAAACTAGGAAGTAAACAAACAAAAAAACCACGGGTACCTCCCTTTCTGTTAAATTACAAGTCTAGATGTGGCAAGTGCTATCTAAATCCGCCTTGCATCTGTATCTCAAATATAAAAGGAACTGTCTAAATCTGCCTTTTTGAAATGGTAAAAATCTGGCAACTTTTTTGAGTGGGTAGAGACAAAGAATGGCAGGCATGTCTGGCAAAAGGTAGCCCTCACGGTTTCCTGTGTCATGGGTGAGCCTCGCTCACCTGCCTTAACCACTCAGCCAAGGGTCTGTTAAGCCACATGGATTTGCCCAGCTCAAAGTAGGAAAACTACAGCTTTAACTCCCATTTCCTGCTTGGGGAACAGGAAATGTTTCCTATTTATTTCTCCCTACTGAAACCCTGTTATAAGGAAAATCCTGGCTAAAACTTTCAAAAGAAAAGTCATTGATAACCTGGCAGGTGGTCTGACCTTCACTGGCTTACAAACTGGCTTCTGAATGGAATGGCTGAGGACAAAAGACACAGGTACAAAATGGAGGAGACTGGGATGCCCAGACTTTATCCTGCTCCAAAGAAAGGAGTCAGTGTTTCTAATAAAAAGAAGCAGCTTTAGCCAGGTGCTGTGGCTCATGCCTGAACTCCTAGCTACTCAGGAGGCTGAGATTTGAGAATCAAGATTCAGAGTCAGGGCTGGGAAGATGTCTCAGTGGTAGAGTGCTTGCCTTGCATTGCATGAGGCCTAGCAGAAAAAGCCGGAAGTGATACTGTGGCTCAAGCGGTAGAGTGTTGTTAGCCTTGAGCTGAAAAGCTGAGGGGACAACACCTAGGCCCAGAGGTCAGGCCCACGACCAAGAAAAAAGATTAAGTCAGCCCAGGCAGAAAATACCGTGAGACTCTTAGTCAAATTAACCACCAAAAATCCTGAAGTGGAACTGTGGTTCAAGTGGTAGAGCACCGATGTTGAGCAAGAAAGCTAAAGGACAGGGACCTGGCCCTGAGTACAAGCCCCAGTAATGCCACACACACAAAATGAGATGAAATGTGGTGTTTGGGGGTTTTTTTGTTGTTTTTTTTATGGGAGGGGGCATAAAAATGGAAGAAGGGTAAACAAATGCATGTATTTAATATATAATATGTAAAAAATGAACTATGCAATTTGTGGGCAGAGATGGAAAAAAGAAACTGGGGGAAAGTGAAGGAAGAGGTAACATTTGTCCAAGAAGCATTGTATTCCTTTCCTGACTTATGAAACTGTGACCCCTTTGTACAACTCCTAATAATGATTTTAAAAAGAATAATAATTTTAAAGAGAAGAAATAAAAAGATGTAATAAATTAAGATTTTTTTAAAGCTTAAAAATACATGCTGCAAGCTTTAAAAAGCATCAGGCATAGGGCTAGGAAGGTGGCTCAGTGGCACAGTGCTTGTCTTGCATGCATGAGGCCCGGTTCGATTCCTCAACACCACATAAGCTGAAAAAGCCAGAAGTGGCACTGTGACTCAAGTGGTAGAGCACTAGCCTTGAGCTGAAGAGCTGAGGGACAGCGCCCAGGCCCAGAGTTCAGGCACCCACAACGGACAAAAAAAAAAAAAAAAAGCATCAGGCATAGACTGGCACTCTTATCAACAGCTTTATTTCTGTTTTTTTTTTAGTGGCTAATAGGAGATAAGAATCTCATGGACTTTGCTGGTTTGAAATGTGGTCCTCAGATCTCAATCTTAAGAGTAGCTAGGATTACAGGTGTGCACCACCAGTGCTGGCTTTGAATTGTATTGTAGGACAATTAAGAAGCCTTAGAAGCTGAGTGCTGGTGGCTCACGCCTGTAATCCTAACTACTCAGGAGGCTGAGATCTGAGGATCGGTTCAAAGCCAGCCAGGGCAGGAAAGTCTGTAAGAATCTTATCTCCAATAAACCACCAGAAAACCGGAAGTGGCGATGTAGCTAAAGCGGTAGAGTGCTAGCCTTGAACTGAAGAGCTGAGGGATAGCGCCCAGGCACAGGGTTCAAGCCCTGCGACTGACCAAAAAAAAAAGAAGAAGCCTTAGATCTCTTTAGTAGCAGCTGGATGGAGCCTAATCTAGTTCTAGACCAGAAAGTCTGGACTCCTCTGCTCTGGTGCCAACCCAACTTCTTCAATTCCTGCTTGTAAAGGACGAGCACAGCACCACCCAGATTCTTAACCTTCTGTCATCCTTGGAACAGTCTTTACAGGGGAGAAAGTTCTAGCCAGGCTTCCATGGAAACTACAGGAACCTTTATATTCATTCCTGAAAGGTACTACTAGCAAAGCCTAACCAGCCTGCATCATAATCTATGAATGATGTCAAGTGTTCCGCTCCCTCCACTGTGCAGTGTACCCTTGCACTGTCACCAACACCAGAGGGTAGCTGAACATTTGCTGCCCCAAAGGACTGCATGTAAGAGCGAGGAGGTCCCGGCTCACGGCGGCCTGTAGGTATCATCAGCATGGCAGGGCTGCTTGTGCCTCTCTCCACTCACTAGCTACCTTGTTAACAGCCAGTCATATTTTGAATATCCTAGAGACGGGAACTCACAACTTTAGGGCAAATCCTATGGCAAACTTTGTGCCAAGAATTGTTTGAGACAGAACCTTCCCAACTTTGAGTGGTTTTAGGAGTTTGAACTCAACATATTTGGTTGTTTTTTAAGTTTTTGGTAGTACTGGGATTGAACTTAGGATCCTGAGCTTGCTAAACAGGCACTCTAGTACTTGAACCATACTCCCACATGGGAGCATGTTTTATCAGTCATGGGGCTTGAACTCTGGGCCTGGGCACTGTCACTGAGCTATTCAGCTCAAGGCTAGTGCTCTACCACTTTGAGCCACAGCATCACTTCCACTTTTCTGGTGGTTTATTGGAGATAAGAGTCTCATGGATTGTACTGCCTGGGCTGGCTTTGAACCACAATCCTCAGATCTCAGCCTCCCGAGTAAGTAGGATTACAGCTTGAGCCACCGCACCTGGCACTCCAAACCCTTTGTTTTGTTTTGTTTTTCTAACAATATCTCCTTGTGTTTTATCCTAGGGCTAACCTGAACCTTGACCCTCCTATGTCTGCTTCCCACATAGCTGACAGGAGCACACCACTATACCCAGCTTATTGGTTGAGATAAGATTGTATTAACTTTTTGCCCAAGTGAACCTTGAACCTCAGTCCTACTTTCTTTACCTCCTGGAGTCACTGGAGTGAAGTCTCCAGACTGCCAGGATGCAGACCAAGTCCTTAACATGTCTTTGAGAACAGTCCACCCAAAGTGACTGTGAGTGCATGATTGGAACTCATTTCTGCCCCAGGAAAAGTTTACTTAAGATGCATCAAAGTAAAAATCTTCTATTAAGTCAACTAAAAAAATATATTTGAAAAATGAAAGTTATATTATTATTGATTCTGAGCATAGCCACTGTATTGGCTATGTTCATACGTAAGTTTATTATTTTCAGATTTTCTATTTGGCTATACTTTTAAGGCTGACTAAAGCAAAGTACCAGTGGTTCACATCTGTTCAATCCTTGCAAGTTGAGAGGCCGAAATCAGGAGGATCACAGATCCAGGACAGCCTAGGTAGAAAGCTCTGCAAATTGCATCTCACTAGAAGAAGGCGTGGTTGTGCACATCAGTCATTCCAGCTACAACGGGAAGCCTAAAATAGATCATGCACCTAAAATAGGTGCGTGCTGGGCAGGAAGCAAGACCCTGACTCAAAAACAATAGTCAGCTGGGTGTCAGGTGTCCCAGGATTCCCCAATGACCTATCTTCTTCCCACTAGGCCCCACCTACGAACTGTTTCATGGCCTCCCAAGAACACCACACCTTCCATATATGGTCCTTTGGGGATCCTCCAGGTCCAGACTGTAACAAAAGCTTTTTATCTTGGAATGTGTGCAACCTAGCAACAAGACAATTCACTCCATAATTACTTTGTTTTAGATTTCCACCTATCATGGCTGCCATCCGACTACGAGAATTTCATGAGCGTCGTCCAATGATTCCACCCAGGTAAAGTTGTTAAAGCTGGAGTTTTTAGACCTCATGCCTAAACTCTAGGAGTTCCACATGTCCAATTGGGACAAATAAAGACACATGGTGAAAAACAGAGAAAGGAGTTGTATTGTGTGGTAGGCACGGAAAGACAGCGCTTCAGCACTTCCACAGCCATCTTTGGGGGTTAAATAGGGAAAACTGGGGGAAAGGGCTGAGAAGATATCCATAATTAAAACAGGCCCTTCCTGAATTTCAAGATGGCCACAAATGGCTGCAGGATGGGATAGCTCAGGACAAAGCACACGGGCACAACATAGAGGAATCTGGGAAGCAGACAGCCTTTATACTGCTCCCAGCTCATCTGTGGGCCCAAATAAGGTCTTCCATTAAGATCATTGATGCATTTCAATTTGCTCTTTGTACAGAACAAGAGGTAAGGATCTAGTTTCAGTCTTCTGCATGCGAATATGCAGATTTCCCAATACCATTTGTTAAAGAGGCTGTCTTTTAGCTAGGCGCTGGAGGCTCACGCCTATAATCCTAGCTACTCGGGAAGCTGAGATAGAGGTTCAAAGCCAGCCCGGGCAGGAAAGTCTGTGAGACTCTTATCTCCAATAAATCACTAGAAAACCAGAAATGGAGCTGTGGCTCAAGGGATAGAGCACTTGCCTTGAGCTGAAGAGCACAGAGACAGCACCCAAGCCCAGAGTTTAAAAAAAAAAAAAAAAGCTGTCTTTTCTCCAGTGTATGTTTTTGGTACATTTGTCAAGAATCAAATGGTTGTAGCTATGATACTTTATGCCTATGTTCTCTATTCTATTGCACTGGTCTATGTGTGTATGTTTTGTTCCAGTACCATGCAAGTTTTTTATATTATTATTCTGTAGTATGATGTAAATAGGTATACTGTGATATCTCCAGCATTGCTGTTTTTGCTCAGGACTACTCTAGCTACTCAGGATTGTTTTGCACTTTAATGTACATTTTAGGATTTCTTGTTCTATTTCAGTGAAGCATGACATTGGAATTTTGATAGGGATTACATTGAATCTATAAATTGCTCTCAGTAATATGACCATTTTCACAGTGTTCTGTCAATCATGAATATGGAAGGTCTTTCCATCTCCTAGTACTTTCTTTAATAGATACACTTTCTTCAGTGTTTTATACTTTTCATGGTAGGGGTCTTTGATTTCCTTTGTTAAATGTATTTCTAGTTTAAAAATGGCCCCCCTCCCCTCCCCCAGTTTTTGGTGAGGAAGTTTTGTTATTGTCGTTGTTTTGGTTTCATTTTTGATTTGGTAGTTGGGGGGAACTGCAATGAATGAGATGTAATCCACGTTTTTCTCAGTATGTTCATTATTGGTATACAGAAAAGCTACTGACTTTTGTATTCTTATTTTTGGTACTGAGGCTAGAGCCTCTTGTAATTGCTTGGGTTTTTGCTTAAGATTGGAACTCTACCACTTGAGCCACATCTGCAATTCCTCTATTCTGATTTTGTGCCCTGCTATTGCAGAAGGTGTTTATCAGACCTAGGAGGTTTTTCTTTCTGGTAGTCTTCATGGTCCTTTTTGTGTGTGTGCTGATCCTCAGGCTTGAACTCAGAGCCAGGGCACTGTTCCTTAACTCTTTCTCTCTAGGCTAACCTTCTACCATTTGAGTCGTAGTTCTGCTGTGGAGATAAGAGTCTCAAGGACTTTCCTGCCTGGGCTGGCTTTGAACCATTATCCTCAGATCTTAGCTTCCTACATAGCTACAATTACAGGTGAGAGCCACCAGCGCCTGATCTCATTCTCTCCTCCCTCTCCCCTCTCCCCTCCCTTCCTCCTTCTCCTCCCTCCCTCCCTCCTTCCTTCCCTCCTTTTCATGACAAGGTCTCACCGTGTAGCCCAGCTGGTCTGGAACTCACTGCAGGCCTGGCTGGCCTCAGTGCCTGGTTGGCCTCAGTCTTGCTCTCCGCCTGTCTCAGGCTCACTAGTTACGCTCTTACAGGTGTGGACCATCATACTAAGTTTCTTTTAGTTTGTTCCCTCTCCCCTTTTAATTGGCATGTGATATGTACTTGCTGTCTGCCCTTAAGTGGAGGAATCATGTAGTTTATTAGAAATAATGCTCTTCTGAAAAAAAGTCATCATACACACATAAATGATTCGTGGCTCTGGCTTAGTTCATTTAACCTGTCTGAGCCTCTTTTTGCTGTGATGGAGCAAGGTGCTCTTACTTCTCACAGGTGGCTTTGGAATTAGGAGCCTTCTCTGCATGAGGCACGGAGCCCCACACACGTGTGGCATGGAGGAGCGCAGTCCCCATGAGCGGCACAGCTCCCTTGGGCCGCTGCCCAGGCCTTCACCTGGGCATCTTGAATCTTGTCTGTGGCTAAGCCCAGACCCTACTTCAGTTATACTCCTCTCCTGGGGGACAAGTTTGTTCTTGAACACCTCGCAGGAGAGCCCAGCTGTCAGAACCTTTAAATAATGCCCAGGGGAAGTATACCGGCGTGACCAGCTGCTCCCACCGAGGAGAAGGAATGCAGGGCTGATTGAGAGATTGAGCAGAGCCCTGGAGGGCTTCGACGCCCAGGCTGGGGTCACGGACATTTGCTTCTGTGCATGGGAGCAGTCGGCATTGCACAGTGGCGGGCTCACCGAGGCATTTCCCCCTAGGAGGGAAAAGGTCTCTTCTGAAGAGTGGAGTTTTTTTTATCTCCAAATTGCAAGCTTTCTCGTGTTTGAGAAGGCCACATGGGGAGCTTGGGATGTTTATCCACAGAGTTCCAGGCAGCGTGTGTCATCTTTTCCTCCCCCACTCTCTCCACTTCTCTCTCCATGCTGCCCTCCTTCCAACGCCAAGATCCTGGCATGCTTTCCTGCCCTCTCCACACTCCTGCCAAGCCTGCCTAGGGTGCTCCCAGATTTGTCACTGGGTGCTGGGGAGGAAGCTAGGTGCTGCACTCGGAGCAGCTGGTGCAGACCCCATCTGGGGCTGTGCTGGGCTCACTTTCACCAGGAGCCCCGGGTGGCGGCACCGGTCGCTCCTGCAGACCGTGGATGTCCGGACACCCAGCACCCGTGGGCTCTTCACCACTGTCAGGCAGCTCCAGGGAAGCCTTGGGAGGGACAGGACAGGTACCTAGACGACCACGTTCCAGCCCTGCATTCAGACCTGTCATTTGTTCCTCCTTTGAAGCTAACTTGTCTCTCCCCTGCTGTAATCTCCTGCTGTAATTCAGGGCTCAGTCATATTATTCCAGCCACTGAGCAAGTCTAGACAGTCTGTGGTTTGTGGAAAATCTGAACTCCCAGTGTCCTGTTTGCACAGACAAAAGCACAGCCTGCCCTGCTCTGGACTTCCTTTTATACAAGAAAGGCAGCCCCTAGACCCTTTCTGGAGCTCAGATTTTGAACACTCTCCAAAGGTCCAGTGTTGGATGCTTGAGCTTCAGCTGGTGGCCCTTTGGGGAGGTGGCCTCACTTTTAGGTGGGGCCTGGTGGGAGGAAGTTAGGTTATTGGGGGTGAGCTCTTGGCAGGAATTCTGGTGGGAGGAAGTTAGGTTATTGGGGGTGAGCTCTTGGCAGGAAT